ATATATATGAACTGTATGTGATGCTTATTGCGAACTATGTGTAATGCCTGTGATGTTTATTTGAGTGGGGTACATTATATATGACCGAACAATAAAAACAGGGAATATATGGTCGCTTTGCTAAGTGTTACACTCGACAAAGAGGCCTTTTGCCGAGTGCTAGAGTAAAAACATTCGGCAAAGCGGACACGTGGCAAATTTCTGTGCATTCTGGGAGTAAAATGACTTCCTTGCGATGTCAACATTTGTACGTTCTGGGCCAGTCTTTGCTGAGTGTCGGTATCTGACACTCGACAAAGAAGCTAGGTTTACCGAGTGCCCGAGATTTGACATTGTCTGGGAGTTGACACTCGGCAAAGGAGGCAGGTTTGCCGAGTGTCAAGTCCGGGACACTCGGTGAACGCGTCGTGACCGTCTCGGCGCCGTCACATTACTTTTTTCGCCGAGCATCGGTTTCATCTCTCGGCAAAGTATTTGCCGAGTGCCCGATAGAAAACACTTGACAAAGAGACGTTTACCGGCACTATAGATGCCGAGTGTTTTGTGGTCTTTGCCAAGTGCCTGTGACATACGGCAAAGCCACTATTTCTGGTCCCACTAAACCCTAGACGTGCGAGGAGGCTAAGCCCCGGCAATTTGTGGTCGCTGCACTTTGCGGATCCACCATACACAACGAGCTTGACCGCAACGGCCAGGAAGAAGGCCTCCTCTGACGTGCAGGCGGCCTATGGAGGTCTGCTGTCCTGAAGTTCTACTGCTATTCGCTACCAGAGAAAGAAGAATAGAAGATCCAACCGTTACTTGGGCTGCTACTCTGGTGGGCTTAAGTCATTAGATGTAGAGGCCCATTTATGCACTTATTTTTGGCTTGGCCTGCCTGACCATCTGTCCAACACAAAGAAAGACCAGACGTAATTGTTTCATCGCGACGTTTCATGTTTCGCGTGATGTGATCGTGCTCGTCGCCCAGCCACACACTGGCGCACTGCATGCCAGAGAGCAGGCCGCATGCCACAGTCGATCGACACCGTGCAGGCAACAGCTTATCAATATGAATGAAGGGCGGGCTCGGTTGCTCAAGAAGGGTTTATATTTAATTCGTTGACTGTTGGATATCTTGTTTTCTATTATATATGTTTTATACTTGACGTCGCTGCATGTGTATGTGCTACTTTAATTTAAAATCTTACACTTTCCTGTTTATTATCTACTCTCTGACATACCTCAGCTTTCTTCCGTCGTCCGCCACTGTTCACTCGTGCTCTCAGCAGCAGCGCTGCCATACTGCCCCGAGACGAGTTCCTGAAACTACGGGGCTGATTGGTTAATCGCATTAGTATTGCATGGCATACATGTTGTGTAGCATACTTTTAATCTGGACAATGCAATGCAATTTGATGTTGTTTGGTTTGCCTGGATAAAAACCTGTACAATGCTATGCATGTGTTGGTTTCCTGCGTAAGTGGCCAGGCTGTGTCTTGGGCTGTAGTGTGGGTGGCAGGAGGAAGGGTGCACAGCTGATACGCAGGCTGAGCTTACTTTGAGGACAATGCTAGCATGCTTCTAGACCTGTGCAAGTAACCAACAGAGACGAGTTGCACCGCGGGGCCTAGATAAGCGATGCAAGCAACCAACTAGACCCTATAGGTACACAGTACATTTAGTTTTTCCTTCATGTCTCCTATGTTTTTTTTAACCTGGCGCAAAGACAATGCATGCAACTTTCTACTGATAAATCAAAATACAACCCATCTAACTCATTGTTCGTAAAAATCCCCATTTTCACATATAGAGGTAAACATGCTCTGTGCTATTTCGCTACTGAATTCGTCTCTATTACTATTTGTTAGGCCTGAATGGATTTAGAAACAGTTTAGGGTTCCCAATGCAAAATTGTTTATTCATTTCTATTATTTTCTGTAAATGATCAAATCCCTTGACATATGTGGGAAAAAAATTGTGCCCCGTGCAACGCACGGGTCCACTCTTCGAACTTATGTTCAAGGAAGCAGAGATCACACAAGTATTAATTAAAAAAAGGTGAAACCAATTTTGTTATATTTCTATAAACTATATCTACATGATATATGTGATAAATAAAGATCACTAAACAAGCTTTATTTTCTCTATATAATTAGATTTGTAGATTTCTTAATATATTCATCTAAGCCATAAGATAACAAATCATGCTCCCGTGCAATGCACGGGCATATATATATATATCTAGTAAACATAGATACTTGTGTACATGTATATACACATATTTTTATAAACGTATGCATACACACTCCACTCTATATGATCACCTCCAGGTCGTTTACTAAAAAAACTAATATCATCATTAAATGCAGAAATAAATTTCTCGCATTATGCTTCAAAGAGGAAACTCGGACTCACCGGGCAGTTCATGCAGGAATATTTTTGCTTCCGGACAGCGTTGGACTCAGCTAGCCTGGTCCGTCGATTCGAGAATGCCACGGATTGGCCCAAAAACTCATGGGCTTTAATTTGCACACCTGCTCCGGGTCTGGGTCAAACAATCCTGCACCTGCGATCCCGACGTAGCGAGCTGGTGTCATATACTAGCTCTTTTCTATTTCTATTAGTATATATAGCAAATATGCTTGTACGTTATAATGAGAGAAAAATATTAAATATTTATGAAAATGAGTATAAAAATTTTCAGTTGGGTCCAACTAATAAAAACTATATCAATAATGTGACGTGGAAATTTTCATTATTAAGGAAGGTGTCAAGGGCTAAAAAAGACCCATAATATTATTTTTATTATTTCTGTTACATTTATTGTTTGTTTTTGACATTTATAGGGAAAAAAGAAGAAGAAATAAGAACGGAGATGTTTGTTCAATATTAGGGTCAACGGTGAGAGATAAGAAAGAAAAAATGATATTAGTTTTTAATTAAGTTTTATAGGTTTTTTTTTTCATGTCCCTCCCCCTCCCAACACAACCATCAACAAAAGCTTCCAAGGATAAGAGGCGCAATTGCAAAGCCTGTTGAGCGCGTCTTTTTTTACATAGTGCAACCCAATCTAACAAAAGCGTTTGACCATATTCTCCTTCCAATCTCTTAGATATTATCTCGTTTCGTTCCGTGCGTGGCTTAAATTTTCTTATGTCATACTATGACTCCTATTTGGTAGAGTTCCGGACGGCTCCGGCTCTAGCTCCTTTGTACATTATAGTGGGGAGTTGTTTTCTCTCTTCTTAAAATGGACTAGAGGTCGATGATTATTTTTGTTTTACCGGCTCCGACTCCTTCATACAATGTAGCAGGAGTCAATATGTCATACTACGTTCCTTATATTGACTACGAATAATCAATTCCCAATAGTTATTGATGTGTTTTCAATCGAATGATTTCATTTTCGATTTCCCCTAGTACCGATGCTGTATTTCCCAGACTCAAAAGAATTGTTAAACCTACGTGCATGCTGAGGAGTGCATTTCACGAAACTATGCATTCATGATCGGTCTAAGCATTGAACCAGGCTCGTTGCGCGTGGTGTCGTGTTCCTCTCATTCAATTCATACTCGCTCTGTTCCAAACAGAATGCAACTATAGGTTACGTCCAGTTAAAGTGGTTCATGTTTGATTAAATTTATAGTGAATGATATTCATATTTATGACTCTAAATTAATTTATTATAAAAATATATTCTAGAATTAAGCTAATGATATTCATTTTATATCATAAATATTTACACATTTTATCTATAGTTGATCAAATTTAAAATATTAAAATATAATATTTTGCTAAAATTGTATTCTTGTTTGAACGGAGAGAGTATATATCGCACGGAAGCTTTGTATCCGATGGTGGTAGGCTGCCTGCCTCAGGTTTCGACGTGGGGCTACCGACGACCAAACGCGAGCATTTTTCTTCTCCAAAACTGGAGTGCGTACGTGTCGTCACCCGCCTTAGTACTCTGTGGCGTGTGAGCTCAGTACGTACAGGTTACAGAATCGGCAGGTGCGCGTCGATGATGTGTGCCGGACTCCCGGATCTCTGCTCGGCTGCTCGTGGACGAGGACGGCCACGCACGCCTCCGGTTCGCCCCTGTGTCGCATCCGTGTTTGTGTGCACACTCACCTCTCTCTCGTTCTCGTCGCTACTGCCGACGCGACTGGGTAGACTGGTATTAGTGGGTGGGTGCAAAGTTTTAGGTTGTCACGTGCCTGTCGTGTGGGGATGTCGTATGGGGTCGGATACTAATAAAAAAATAAATTATATAATCCGTTACTAATCCACTGAGATAAATTTATTAAGCATAATTAATTCATCATTACCACATATGTGTTATTGTAACATCAATTGTCAAATCATAAACTAATTAGACTTAAAAGATTTGTCTCGTAAATTAGTCGTAAACTGTGTAATTAATTATTTTTTAGTCTATATTTAATACTCTACGTATGTCAAATATTCGATGGGATATGGAGTAAACTTCGGAAGGAGGAACATTAGTACAGTTACGTAGCCTAACAGCTTGCACGTTTGATGGAATTTGGGTGTATATTGTCTTTTGCCTGATTGGACAAGGAAAAAAGGTTGCGAGCTCGATCGTTGACTCCACAGATATAGCCATCGTCGTCGGTGCTGTGCTGTGCATCACCCACCATTCATCCTCAGCTCTGAACCAAACCAAGCGTGCCCAACTCGACAACCGTAACTACTTCCGTTCGCGATCGGCGATCGATCCATCCATCGAGTGGAGACCCGCTGGTCGTTTCTCTCTGACACCGAGGGTCCACCATTGGCTTAATTGGCGCGCTTCCTACGTAACGTCGCTTCCCCTTTTGTATGCCCCGCGCCAATCACGCCGCGATACGCAACGCGCGCGCGCGCACTGCTGCCGGTCAGGGTCAGCTTGCTGCGCGCGGCAACGGCAAGCGCCCAAGTGCTCACAGCCTCCTCGCGCGGCCGATCGCCTACTACTACCAGCTAAGCTTCCAGCCACTACAGCCGACCGCGCGCCCATGCCGGCCACCGGCGCGTTGGCGCCCGTCGCGGCGCCTGGGGCTCGGCGGCCGCTCCTCATCTTCCGCCGCGCCGCGCCGCGCCCGCAGGTGCCGACGACGACGACGCGGTGGCGGTGCCGCGCGTCCGCCGCCGCCGCGCACGGAGCGCCGACGCCGAGCTCGAGCGCCGCGGCGAGGAGGAGGCGAGGGGTCAAGGAGTACGTGGAGGCGGCGCGGGAGATGGCGCGGCAAAAGGACGGCGGCCCGCCGCGGTGGTTCTCGCCGCTCGAGTGCGGGGGCGCCGGCGCCGGCGGCCGCGTCCCCGGCGCACCCACGCTGCTCTACCTGCCCGGTACGTACGACCATTTTCCTTTGCTTGGTAACAAAAAAGTACCATCTCGTTCCGTCATTCCCATGTGCGGTCTAGAAGTGCGCTGTTTGAATATTCTTTTGCAACTGGACTCTGACAAAGCACAGCTGATAGTAAGCTTAACCTGAATAATTAATAATCCCATGTGGAGCTATTGCCGTATTGATCTTTGTTACAGTATAAGATCCTTTTCAGCCTGTGTATACATAGCCATCTACCATTCAAACCTTGTGTGTCATTGTCATTTGCGTTCCAAAGGCAGCAGTGCAGGATATAACATTTTCAAGGCACTAATAACAAGAATTGGTAACCACACAATAGTTCAGAACAGCAGTAATACTAATAGTATTTGCGCGCATTGTGAACAGAGCACAGCACAGCACAGCACTAAAATAGAAGCAACTTGCTCATCTGCATATCAGGCCCTGTTTTGTCTTATAATCCGTACTTTTCAGCTTGTTTTTTCAGCCGGAACAATGTTTTTTTTTTTTTCACAACAAATCAACCGGAACATGTGTTGCTTTCTCACTTTCTTTTGTTATCATATTTTTTAGAAAGGTTGCTTTCTCACCACTAGCATGCATGTGAAAATGGCTATTTTGGAACAGTTTACTGTGTAGCAGTTTTGTGGCTGATGACAGGTGCATCTGTGCTGTGTTTGACCGTTAGATGGACAGCACAACAGATGTAGAGGCACTGACTGGGAACTTCGGTTGTTTTGCTAGCTTCAGACAGTTCTGAAAATACAATCTCGTGTTTTTTTTTTTTTTTTTTTGCTATCTCAGCAAAACTGTGCTGACCTGTGATGTTTTGGAACATATAAGCGATTGCCACCTTTCATTACTTTGGTTTCTGAGAAATTTTATCTGATTTCCATTCTCGGATCCTTGCAGGAATTGATGGAATTGGTTTAGGACTTGTACGGCACCATGAAAGATTGGCAGAGTAAGAATGAATTCTACATGGCCTTTTTTTTCTTACTTCGATGTGACTGATGATTGTTCTTTCTGAAGGATGTTTGAGTTGTGTTGCTTGCACATACCAGTTGAAGATCGAACGTCCTTTGAAGGTACGTCCTTTTCAAATGGATTTTTCAGAATGAAGGAAATGCAACATGCCTTTTTCTGACTGTTGGAGGAAATACACATGTACTTGCAAGTTTAGTTTTACACTGACAAATCTACCGGAACTGTATGATGGAGTACAGGACTGGTTGAGTATGTGGAGAGGACAGTAAAGTCACAGAGCTCAAGAGCACCAGACAGACCAGTGTATCTTGTTGGAGAAGCAGTAGGAGCGTGCATCGCTCTAGCCGTTGCTGCGCGAAACCCAGACATAGACCTGGTATTGATCCTAGTAAACCCAGGTCAGGCTGCAATTAACTGTGGTTTTTGTGTTTCTCTGATCTTACCAGTGATATGACTTTCTTTTCTAACTCATGGAGTTTGCCTCATCTTGCAGGAACATCATTCCATAGGTCACAGTTGCAAACTCTCTCAGCCTTCTTGGATATGGTCCCTGAACCCTTCCATTTGACCACTCCACAGCTGCTAAATTTTCTGACAGGTTTTTATTTACTTCTCTACACTAATTTTTTTAGGGATTCTACACCTTATTTTTTGAGTAATTATTCTTTTAGTTACTCGAGAGGCAAGTACTTTTGCCAAAAACAAAGATGGATGAGACACTGGCATGATCTGTTTCTTCGTGTATAAGACACATCATTGTCCCTTGTTGTCAGATATGCTTCTTATAGTTGACACTTTACATAGCACAATGTCTAGGGATAGTTGAAAATAGCATCAAAAGTGCAATCATTTGATTTGTATCTGCCGAGTTCTTATCATAGTTTAATACTTTTAGGGAACTTCATGAAGATGCCATCAACTTTTGTTGGACGTGGCTTCTCTCTAGAAGAAGCTGGTCAGACATTATCAGAGATCACATCCAATTTGTTGGATTCCCTTATGGTGAGTTCGAAAGTGTCAAAACATGTGAAGATATTTCTACTATTTATTTTTGGAGACCATTTTATGAATATTCTGATGCTACTTTTTTCAGTTCAAATCAATGAATTTGTTGTTTTGTTGGACATACAGCAATTCAGTTTATTTCTTCGTGATGATCTTAATCCTTCTTTATTACGTTTTTTTTTCTTACAGATTTTGGTTGATGTTCTGACAAAGGAATCTATCGTTTGTAAGTTGAAAATGTTGAAGACAGCATCATCATTTGTCAATTCCCGTTTACATGCAGTCAAGGCCGAGACTTTGGTGCTAGCCAGGTAAGACTTACAGAAAGCCACGCAGAGAAATAAGGAAGCATTCTTCCACACATCATATCTGCCCTCACTCTTAAAAGGTTGAGAAGAACAGTATGAAACATGCTTTACATGGAGAACCATGAGAAAAAAAATAACTCTGAAAATATTTTCCTACTTCAGACTGGGCCTGAATTCGATATTATTTTGTCAGTGGAAATGATGAACTTCTACCAAGCAGCCAAGAGGCTGAGAGGCTCCGTGGTGCTCTAGAGAAATGCAGAACACGTCTTTTCAGAGATAATGGCCACAAAATCTTACTGGTGTGGTAGCTATTTTTTTTCTCTTCTACATGACTAGATTGTTGCTATATTCCAAAATCTCATAAAATTGAGTTCCACACTCGTTTGCCAAGTTTTGCCTTTCATTTGTGTACCTGTGGGTTATGGCCACAGCTAATTCCTCTTTGCAAGCATTTCTAAGCTTTGATCAACTATTTCACAATTCCTAAAAAGGAAGCCGATTTCGATCTCGCAACAACCATAAAAGGAGCTGGGTTCTACCGCCGCACCAGGAAGACAGACTTCGTTTCAGACTACCTACCTCCTACTCCAGATGAGTTCCAACAAGCTATCAATCACGACAGGTACCATTACAAGAGACGGTTTAGGAATCCTATGAAATTGCCTCCGAACAGTCCCTGAAAAGCTACTGAACTGAACTTGTAAAACCTTTCAGGATCCTAAAGCTTGTCACTGACCCAGTGATGCTATCAACACTGCCTGATGGGAAGATAGTGAGGGGTCTGGCAGGGCTGCCAAGGGAGGGCCCTGCCGTGCTGGTTGGGTACCACATGCTCCTGGGGTTTGAGCTTGGACCTATGGTCACAGGCATCCTGAGCAGCACCGGAGTCCACATCCGGGGCTTGGCGCACCCCTTCATGTTTGACAAGAGCACCGAGCAGCTGATGCCCGACTCGGCGCACTTCGACCTGCATCGGATCATGGGGGCAGTGCCAGTCACAGGTGCCAATTTTTACAAGCTCCTTGCAGATAAGGAGTTTGTGCTGCTGTATCCAGGAGGTGCGCGGGAAGCGCTTCATAGAAAGGTGATGGTTTGGCAATATGTGATTTTGTTTCTCCTATCTATGTTATATAATATGTCTGAAGGCTGTGGTTTTCAGGGAGAGGAGTACAAGTTGTTTTGGCCGGAGCAACCTGAATTCGTGAGAATGGCATCCAGGTTTGGAGCAACGATCATACCATTTGGAGTAGTGGGAGAAGATGATATATGCCATGTAAGTGCCACAGTGCTTTCCAGTACGCTATCTCAGTTGAAGAACATGGCTTGGATGATGATCAGTTACTCAGTTTACCATCTCAGTTGTTGTTAGACTACAACGATCTTCAGAAGGTTCCCTTCTATGATATACTCGACAACGCCTTAAACCGCGATGGACTGAAGCTAAGGTATGCTGGTCTAATTCAAGTCCTTTTTTTTCCTTTTTTCCTCCCCCCCCCCTTTCAGGTTATGTTTGAGTCTTTGAGATCCTGATGCTGAGCTGTGGTTTCATAGGACTGATTCCATGGGAGAGGTAAAAAATCAAAGAATGCACCCCCTAGTGCTTGCGCCAAAGGTACCAGGGCGGTTTTACTTCGTCTTTGGAAAGCCTATTGAGACAAGAGGTACATATTCAAAAACATTTCATTAAATCCCCTCGATCTGTATTCTTCAGGCATTCTCTCAGTGTCAACTTTTAACAATGGTTTGAGCGTTTCTCGAACCTGAAGTTGGGTCAAAAAATTCTCATTCGGTTTGTTTGCTTGCATAGGGAGAGAGAAAGGACTACGAGACAGAGAGGAGGCGCAGCGCCTCTATTTGCAAGTCAAATCTGAGGTGGAGAGCTGTATCAACTATCTGAAGGAGAAAAGGGAGGAGGACCCTTACAGGAGTATACTGCCCAGGCTTCTCTACCAAGCAGTTTATGGTCCCAATGCAGAAATACCCACATTTGAACCGTGAAATGTTCACTTCGAGAATACCAATTGTTTTTATATTTTTTTCTTGTCAACAAAGTTGTTTATTACCATTTTCCTCCAAAGAATTATGTTGACTGATTTTATCGTAGCCCATTCAAAGCATATAGAGGACAATAGAATTCAGGTCATAGCTCATAACTGTAAATGTGTAAGTACAGCAGCAGAAGTATTTATTTTTGGCTCATACCATTGCAAAAAACGCATGGGCTCAAGTCAAGAGTAGAAATGAAGAATAATCCGTGCCTATTTGGATCCTAGCAGATTCCAGCTTTGGTATCCAAGCAGCCCACGACCATCCAGCTTACACAATCTCACAAGCTGAGATAACCAAGCCTCAACCAGCTTGTGGAAGCTGGTGTGGATCCAAACACTACCTTATACATAAAAAAAATTAGATGAAATAAAGAATTTCATTGGAAGGTTAGTCTGTACATCAATGGCAATAAGCAGTAAAGATTGATAAGTTAGTGACGAAATGGTATGTACAAATTATCTGCAGCTTCACGAGTGTGGAAGGAGTTCTTAGTTGCTTATGTCAAAATACTTGGGATTTGCTGGGAAGTCATGCTCAACCCGCAGCTAAGAGGAGACAAAAAAGGAATCTGTCAGCTGTGTATCTAAACAAGAATGCAAAATATATTAGAATGATAGAGTCAAGCAACAACATAATAACTTAATCTTTGCAACCCAGCCGGTAGTTTTGTGGATCCTAGAATACTTTTTATGTTACAGGTTCAGATAATCCTATCTCACTAGTTCATAAAGAATTACTACCTCTGTTACAAATTATAGTTTATAGTTCACTGTTGTCTTTAAGTCCAAATAAATCTAGCTTTGACCAACTTTTAAAAAAAAACATGTACAAGTTCAAATAAATACACTATAAAAACATATTTCATGTAAAATTTAGTGAAACTAATTTTATGTTCTACATGTTGGTGGCTTGGTGCACACTCGCAGTTAGAAAAAAAAAATCGCTAAAAAAAGTTAGAAATTTTTGACTTAATATGAAGCTAAAGTGAACTATAATTTGTAATGGATCTTAAACTAAAGTTGTGCTACAAGGGTGAAATAGACAGCCTAGACGTGTATCTTAATTGTCACATACCTTGCCTTCGTCAGAGTCTGAGTGCCTCTGAGGGAAGACAACTCTAATATCATTGTAAAGATAAAATCTTCTCTCTTCCTCAGTCCTACTGCGAGTGTGCGGTTCTGATGACAGATCCAATTTGCAATGCTGCCTTGATTTGGATGAGTTCTTGGAGAAGGGGCTCAGAAAACGTAAATGCAAAGCATACCGCAGTACCCCTCCAGCTGGAATATCATTGACCTTGGAGATCTGCTGAAAGATTTCTTTCCACCTTGACATGAGTCTATTTGACAGCAGCAAACCTCAGCATTAGCATCATTTTCTGAATTCCCCGAAGTAGTGTATTCATTTGGTTCTCTAACGTCACATTCCATATCTGCAGAACCTCCCTTTTCCGACTCGTGCCCATTGTCCGAACCTGCAAAGTTAAAATAACTTTTAATTAACTTGAACTTTGTAATTTGGATTTATCTATCAATGGTATTGGATTTATTACATTCAGAAAATAGAGCACCGCACTCTCTAAGTTCACTTCCACACTGGACTGACTCGACCTTTACATCACTGGCCTTGCTTCCTTCTCTGGTCGGATAAGAGGGAGAAGCAGAGGATAGAGTGATCTTTTGCCGCATGAAAGTCTGTCCCATTTTACAATATCAGAATATGGATTTGAGAAAAGGAAGTAAAGGGATAAAACTAAATAATTGTGATTGCTAAAGGAAGGCACAAAACATCCATTTCATAAGAAAAGGCAGACATCATTAATGCAGCTGAAGATACTTGCAAGATGGTACCAGATGATTAAGGGTGTGTTTCGTAAGTTTGCCAGCTTCACCCTTGCCAAGAGTGGAAAGCCAATTTGGCTCGTTCGGCCTGGCATGGAAAAAGCTTGACAGCGCTGGCCCCGAGACGAGACGGCAAGAGAACCAACTGTTACATTCCTCGCCGGCTAGGCAAGGTGAGCTGCAGCAAGGCTTCCAAACAGTCCAAGTATTTGTAACTCGTGAAACATCACAATTTACTCATTTCCACCCACCCATATACCAGTATAAATTGAAGTAGCAATACTTTCACTATAGAGCAGAAAAAAATTTGCTGGCTTAGTAATTGTTGAATGGGCCACTATCACCGCCCCCCCCCCCGAAGAAAAAAGGTCCCACCTACCCACAAAAAAAGTAAATAAAAAATACTTTCTATAATCATCTTTGCATAAAATCACGGAGATGGGATGCCCAAACACTTTTCTTGTTGTCTATCTGCCTAAAATATAAGTTCATGAATGGATCGAACCACATATGTGTCTCAATGAGTATATGGAGCCAGAATTATTAATCAAATCTCAACATAAATCTAACAAATTAAAAAAGAAAACATGCCATTTTAATAATTAACAAAATCAACAATCACAACAGAGTATGCCAATGCAATATTTTTTTTACCATCATACCATGTGAAAATAAGAAAAATTAGTGCCATGGTTGAAAAGACAACGAGCAAAAAACTGCAGTTAATATCAAATCAAAATACATTTAAAAAGGCAATAACATAATATTGATTTCTCATACCTTGGTTCCAGCAGGCATGTCACTCAAATCATAGGTACAGAAGAAGGTGTGAAGTGGTGTCTTCTCTGGGTTACTGACCACCTGCCGAGAGTAAAGAGTTTTGCTTGAAGTGAAATAGGCAAATCAATAGAAATGTGACAATCTAATAGAACTTTTAAAAGGACTATCAAATCAAAAGCAATTTGAAGGTAGTAAGGTGGACTAGATAAGTCTCAAAGTAAGCTCCAAATGTCGGTGCTAAAGTAGCAACATGAGCTCCATGTCCTATCAAATTTTATAATATGGAACTGAACTCCAAATAGTAAGAGTCCTATTTTTCCAGAAGCAGAAAAGTTCTGCAATTTCCTCCTACATGAGTCACCAGGTTACACAATGTTTCATCTGATACACAAGAGAATGCAGACTTCAAGCTCAAAGTGTGATGTGCTATCATGTGAATTGATCAAAGCAAATGCTATTTACATATTTCATGCATACACAAGAAATTGTAAAAAAAAAACAAACTATAATGCATTCACTTCCCATAACAAACTATAGCAACTCAAAGTAAAATGTGCACATGCTAGTAAGAATAGGTAGTTAAACTTGCAGAAAACTTCCCATTACAATAGGTTCAAAACCAAGATAAATCATACAACTTTCTACTATATTATCATTAACTGAATAAATATCTTGGTATTACACCAATTCGAAAAATATATATAAAAGATGCACAGGCACAGTACATCCTGATCAAATTTTATTATAAGGTCAAGCAATTCAGTACCAGTTGTACGTGGCCTTTCACAGGGATGCGTAACCGACTATTTGTTGACCGTGAATCACTGTTATTGAGGCTTCTTTTGAATTTTGGGCCTTTGCTATTGTTTGTAGGCAACCTCCCCGCAAGATCAATCGATGAGTAGTACAAGAAGGAGCTATCTTCATCAATGCTGGTCACTGTAAATGGGAGCTTCTGAGTTGGGGGAGAAAAGCTACCGCCAGTCACATTAAGAATAGCCAGAAAACCATCAATGCTCTGTATTATGAGAGGATGGCATTAAGACCAAAAACATGCCTGGTATCCTCAACAAAAGCTGAGTAATTAGGAGTAACGGAAAACATGACGAACCTGATTGTCCTTTCCACATGAATAGCGACCAGATAAGAGAGATTCCTCAAAGGAGCCAACCAATGACCTCCTTACAGGGAGGAGGTTCAAACTAATATATCCAATGTGTGCAGACACAGGGGCAGATTCTGGACCCAAGCATTGGTATCTCCTATGAAAACTTCTCTTAGGGGTCATTGTATCAAATCCATCATTCAAAATACTGGTTTCATCTAGCATATCCCTCATCCTTATTGTACCAACATATTCTGAATAATCATCAAAATTTGATCTTCCCATTTCCTTCAAGCCAAGGAAATCATTTTCAATTTGTCCCGTCAAATCCCTCTGAGCTCTTGCAGCCTTCATTCTATTCATCCATTTTGGACAAAGTGGAGAAAGAGTGAGTGGAGGAGAATGTGACAATCTTGCAGGCGGTGTAGACACCTTTGCAAGATTCATAATCCTTTCACCTCCTGGTTGATCTGAGCATGGAAAGAATTCCCTAACATCAAGCAAAGGACCATCAGTGAATGTATTAGAACTAAGCTTACAGAAACCCTGCTCTGTACTCCAATCAGAGTATCCCAATGCTGGCCTAGTAGATGGCTGAAAGGAATAAAGAGTTCCAGTGTTAGCCTTTTTACTGTCATGGAAGCCAGAATAAGAGAGCTGTCTAACACAATGAGGGTTCTGTTTTTTTTCATCACCGGAACCAATATTCAGCGCATCACCATGGAACTGTCCAGAAGGAAGCATATTAATTAATGGTGACAGCACCCTTTTCCTTGCCTGAACTTCGTGATGTTCAACTGATGAATCACAATTACCAATGACTAAAGATGAATGCATTTTGTGAGCTACCATTATATCAGGGCCACCTGTGGAATCAGCAGTTCCAGAATCAAACCCAACAACCCTCATTGCAGGCATCTGTACAGGAGATCTGATTTTAGGGCATGATCTATAACTTGGATCTCTCGATTCAGGATTTAGGCCTTGGTAGCCCGCAGGATCATCAACAGCATGTCTGGTTCTGATATGACTATTTAATCCATTCGAAGCACCCAATGCAAATTTTCTCTTGAAATCGCTGACGGATGGGTCTTGAAACCAACTTCTACTTGAGCTTCCCACACTAAGTTTACCTGAATCGCAGAGGCCACTGACACTGAAACTAGGACCGGTTACAGGTGTACTCCCTTCAGTAGGCTCTTCCTCCTTAACCACATGAATTT